ATACATACACATACATACACATACATACACATACATACACATACATACACATACATACACATACATACACATACATACATACATACATACATACACACATACACACATACACACATACACACATACACACATACACACATACATATGATACATACATATGTAACATCTATGATTTGTCCTCTTGAGCTGTGACTTGGGCTTTGTGTACTCCTATCCTGCGGGCAGGACTTGACAATGCTGGCAAGACAACCCTTCTCCACACGTTGAAGGACCATTGGCCGCGTCTAATGGAGAGATGTCACCTTGTCCCTCCAGCGTTGCTTGCTTGGTAGTTGTCCCAAGTTATATAGAACTGGCTTCCCCAATATTTCCGTGTGTCCGAAAATGATTGGGCAATTCGTATACCCCCAATTTGCCATCTGAAAATGGACACCTATGGACCTATGATCTGGATTTACCGGCCCTGCCAGGATGACAGGATCGCCACCCACGTTCCTACGCTTCATCCCCACTCGGAGGTGCGTTCCACAGTGCAATGCAGCTGCGGATCAGGCTCAGATGATCGTTGATCTGAGTTGAGTTTGGACAAATTGTATGTACCCTCCAGTAAATTAACAAAATTAACATAGACCCTGGCAGATATGGGTTGGAAGATTACTTTCCATAAAAAATGGTGATTCTCAGGGTCTATGTTAATTTACCAGAGTGTAGATGTTGAATTATATTAATTTGATATCGGTGTGACATAGCAGATCTGGTGCCACAATTCGAATGGGTCCAACTTGGGGTTACTTTGGGGAAAGGTGGCAGCGCAGCTGTTGGTCACTCGATGGAACAGTCCAGCCTTTTCGTAGTGGGCTGGGCAAACTTTTCCTGATCACATGATAACATGAACTATCCATGATAGCTTTTCCATGTGTGGAAAACCACCATTTTGTGATCCATCTTTGGGGCCTTTAAAGAATACCCTCTGGTAAACATTTACATAACTATGGAAAATCACCATTTTTACTGGGGAAACTCACTATTAGCCATTTTCAATAGCTCTTCTGACATAACCAGAGGGTAAATCCCCCAAAAAATCCCATTAAACATATTAAACCACCATTTTCCTATGGTTTTCCTATGGTTTTCCTATGGTT